TACTTCCGGTAATTTCAAATTACTTTTGTATTTTAAGTGGCAAACTTTAAAAACTTTACTTCTTTTTAACCTTAGAAAATGAAGTGAATATTGACTCCTTGCTGTGAAAGACAAGGAAATTAGCTCAGCGATACTCCCTTCTCAGCCCCCACTGTGTTGTGTTAACAAGATCTAGAATTTTTGTCCCAGTCCATTAGTTATATTACTTTGCATTTTGAAGTCTGACATCTTTATGTTGTTGCTTAGTATCAATTTTATATTTCAGTGGATTTGTGGCTTATAACTAATTCTTACTTATGTTGTCTTCTCCATTACCGTTGTCTTCACATTGATACTTTTGGTTGGCCAGTTCTAGTCAAAAATCTTCAAGAACAGCTCATATTTGTTATAATTCCTGAGTCTTTACATATTTAAAAGTTAATTTGATTTTAAAGTGGTTGAAAATAAAAAAAAAAAAAAAAAACACCTTAGGTTCACGCTTGCTATTGAAATGATGTGGAGAACCGGAATACCAGAGGGTGACTCAGGTTTTTGGTGGCTATGGTCATTTTTTTTTTAACCTTTAACTTCTCTAGGAACACCTCCAAGATATGTTTTAATATTGCTTGTTCGCATCAAAAATTTTTGGGGAACATGATTCATTTTCTTTATCTGCAGATTTAGTTCCTTATGTATGGAAAATTTAATTTATCTTTTTTTTTCCTGTGTTAATTGCAGCCTTCTCTACCTACTTTTCGTTCTGTTGGATCAAACTTGTCATCCATCTCCACTCCTCTCCATCTGCACCAAACACCACTCTATCAGGTGTCCCACAACCACAGGGGTTCCAAGAATCTGTGCATGGGAGTCACAAAAAAATATGAAACTCAGAGAAGGAACAGATGCTCAGAGCTTAAATGATTTCTTCACGAAAGAGAGATAAGTGGAGGCTGTAAGCAATTTTAGAGGAAAGTGATCTTGAGGGGAGATGAATGGGCCTGAAGAATAGAAAACAGTTTGGGGAAAAAGATCCCCGTTTCTGGGGTGGTGTCAAATCTAGTCTAGTTAGTATTCTGGGGGATCCAACATTTATGTAGACAGGGAAACTTTAGAGAAAGCCCTTTCCTATGTTTCAGGAGGATCAAAGGGGAAAGACATGAGGGGAGAGTCAGAGACTTTGGTTCTCCTTTTGTACAAAGCATTTAGTATGTCAAACCATCATAATCAGGGTACTGTTTTCTAAGCCCCAACACATCTCCAATCTGCCTCATTTTTCTTCCTAACGCTTTTCACTACAAGCCATCTTTTGTGCCCAAATCCAAACAGAAAATAGCTCTTTGAGAAAATTCTGCCCTCTTCCCCACTGGGCCAGAACAGTGCCAGGCAGAACTGAGTTGATGTTGAATAAGTACCTTACTAAATTATCTCAAGCTTTTCCTTTGTGTCTCCAATTCTGTTTCAGCTGTGTAGATTTTGTCCTTTGCTCTAACTTAAGAAGCTTGTTTTCCTAAGTCTGGTTTTCTTTCTATCATATTGTATTGTAGAGTTCCGTTTTTTGTTTTGTGTTGTATTTTGTTTTTTTTCTTTCTTTCTCTCTCCTCAATTTCTTTTAGAGTGTGGGGCATTTGCTGTGAAGGATGCTATTTTCCAGAGTACATTTTCTTTCCTGATGGGTCCTGTATCTTTTTTCCCTGTGTTTTTGTGTAGTTTAAAGGCAGTTTCTTCCCATCACTCCCATGACTAGCAAAGGAGCTTTGTGGGTGCCCAGTTACAGTATGGGTGGTGTTCTAGACTTCCTGCCCAATCTGCACTATTCTGCAGAAAACAAGGAAACAAAGTACAGGTCAGGAGGAGGCAGCCTTAGAAAGACAGGAAATATCAAAGGGAAAAAGAGTAGTCCATGAACAGGCTGGGGATATAGCTCAGTGATTGAGAACTAGTTTTGCCACATGCACGGTCCTGGGTTGATCTCCATTCAGCACTGCAAAACAACAAAAAAACTTCCCAAAACAGAGGAAATGGACTGATAGAGTTTGACTATAAGGTCTCAACTCCCATTGAAATGAAAGGGCCAAAAGCCATTTGCTTCACGTTTTCCTCTCTGGCTTTAGGTGAGTAAGAGAAACCTCTTGGGAAATGGGAGTAAAGAGTGGATAATTCAGGGCTGGGGATTTAGCTCAGTGGTTCTGCCACCTGCCTCACAAGCGCAAGGACCCAAGTTCGATCCCTGGTACCAAAAAAAGAAAAGAAAAAAAAAAGAGAGAGAGAGAGTGGAGAATTTTCCCTGAAGATCAATCATTTCTGTTATTTTTTATTTCTTATTTTTTTAAGCAAACAGAAAAATCAAAGGTAAGTTTGGCAGAATAATTTAAGTCACTGTGCTTGGAAACAGGATCTATGCCCTTGATGAGGGAAAGTGAATTTAGGTCAAGCACTGTCAAACAACACTCTATCTATAAGAAAAAGTAGTGTCATCAAATCCAATCCCCATTGCCCACGAGCCCCACCCTTGTAAGCGACAAGACATGGGTCTAGGGCACCAGCCCCCAGATCAGCTTCTGTTGGAGTTCTGGGGATAACCAGCTCTGGAGGATCAGGGTCCCCTTTACTCCTCATCTACCTCCATCCAGGTGAAAAGTCAAAATGCCACCCCCACCAGCCTTTCCCTTTCTTGGGGAGTAGGACTGTGGCAGTTATGTGGTTTGTATACTGTACATGCTGCCCTGTGGGAGGGCAATTGGGAGCAGAAATGTAGTTTACATGAGCCGTGTCCTGATATGAAGCTCCTCCTCCTGCTCAAAGGGCTTTTCTCTCTTGCACTTCTTGTGCCTACAAAGGTGCCTGAAAATGGTTCCTCTTCCTTCCATGGGCTGGCTGAGCTCTGCTGGAGAAGAAAGTAGATGGCTATGATATTGGGCAACGAGTAATCTTTAAAAAAAAGCAAAATAATCCAAACAGGGAAATATAACTTCAACTTGGTAGATACCCAAAATGCAAGTTTGTGTTCTCTAAAATTGAAGAATGAATTCTAGGAACAATAGAGGTTAAGAGTAGGAAAATTTATTGAAAGATGGCTTCTGTCTAAAAGAGGCAGAAGGGGGAGCAGAAAGTGGGTTGCCCACCCACCTCACTTCTCAAAGGTGTTTTATAGGGCAAAGCCATGAGACGAGGCGGGTACAAAGTGGGACAAAACTATAAGATCCAATGGAAAATCACAAAGAGGGCATGAGGTGGGATAAAACAATTATCATCCAATAAGATTACAAGTATAGTTGTCCAGGTAATATTGATTAAATGGAGATTAAATGGGGAAGCTAGTCACGCAGCAGGCATTGATTTCCCAGAAGGAATGGGCTAGTTAGGGATGGTTTCTCTTTTTAATGTTAACCTTCAGTGAAAGTGCCTCAATTGTTTTCTGTTCTGAGGGCCTAGCCATGTCCAACTGCCTCCTAACTAACTTAGCTGTCTGCAATAGCTGTGAGGTGGGAGAGCTTCCACTCTGGAAAAACATTCTCCCGTAGATGTTGACTCAACGCTCACCATATTCTCTTCAAATTCATTAGGTTTTTTAGAGTTTAATAACCTTGTCTTGTACAGCTTTCTGGAGGCCAGAATATAGGAGCCATCTTCTAATTCCAGTGGATCTTTTGTCTTCTCACTGCTTCTCAGAGCTTATGGTATGAGGATGTACGGCTTCCATTGATTGAAAGATGATGGTTGTTTTTTGCTGATCCTTTCTCATTTTCCATTCACATTTTCAATTTCTGAGAGAGGGTTTTTTTATATCTGGTCACACACTACTATGCTACTTCCAATCTGATTTAAATGGGGTCTCCCTGCCAGGGACTTGGCTCAGTGGTTCCACCACCTGCCTCACAAGCACAAGGTCCTGAGTTCGATCCCCAGTACCAAAATAAACAAGTAAATAAATAAAGGGGGTCTCCCTGTGCTGCTATAATTGTTTTCACATTGTGTTGACTCTTGCACTTTTATATGCTATTTAATATGCATGCTCACAAAGAGCTGACAACATGTCTGAATCTACTCTCTGAGTTCGGTAAAAAGTTAAATATATTCAGATGTTCAACAAATGTTTATTGGTGTCTACAAGGCTTGAGGGCTTATCACATATTGAAGATGACATCAAGATGATCCTATTCCTATTTTTAAAAAACTGAAATATGACATGTTAAGACCAAAATAAAATGGCAGGAAATATGGAAAAATATTGTGTTTCTTGAAATGATGCTTTGGAAATGCAGGTGAATTTGAAATTCAGTTAAGAGTTTCCAACAGACGTTGCTTGTACAATAAACTTACACAGTGAATCTGCCATTGTGATAGAAGAAGCTTTAAATCAGGTTTAAATCTGCCATGCCTGAATGAATGCGCTAATATTTTCAGTCAGTTTCTAGTGCAGCTGTTAAAACATTTGGGCTCTGAAAACCAAATGAGATGTCTAAATTTCATGAGTACTGTGTTCTAATTCTTACTACCTTTTGCTCTGCTAATTAGAAAACAGATTAGCTTCTGATTAGGTGAACATCAAGATTTACCAAAACCAATATATCTTTCAGAACAATAAATTTTGAATCTCATCAAAGCATAAAATTGATATATGTGCTACAGGTTTTGAACACTTTCAGTAGTAGAGGAAAACAGAATTTTTTATATGTAGCATTTAAGCAAGAAGCTAGCATACATTTGCAAATGATGTTTGATTTCAACTATGACAGCAGTTTTCTGGCAACTTTGCTCAGGTAATCAAAATAAATTTGTTTTAAAATTCTTAAAAATATGTACAACAGAGTATGCTCTCCTTCCTCCCCTTTTTCCTTCCTTCCTCCCTCCATTCTACTTTCCCCAGCTATGAAGTTATCAGTCCTAGATTCTTCATGGGGTTCATGCTTATGTTTTTTCTCATGTCTAAGTTTTTTTTTTGTTTTTTTTGAGACAGGGTCTCACTATGTAGTTGAGACTGACCTGGAACTCACTATGTAGCCCAGGCTGGTCTTGAACTCACAGTGATCCTCCTGCCTCGGCCTCCCGAGTGCTGGAATTACAGGCATGAGACACCATGCTCGCTTTCTCATGTCTAAGTTTTATAAACTAGGTTCATCATTCAGGGCCATCTTTTCACAAACTCTCAATATTCTAGTTTGAAGTGATTTAATCCTCTTTGTCATTTCTCTTCGGGCAGTCAGTAAAGACAAATTTTATATTTTTCTTTCCAATATCATCACCTAATATACATAGTTTCTTATGGAAGACCTAGAAACTGTACCCCAAAGGAGAAATGGATTAGTTTTTCTCTATGTTCACACATCCATTTCTTTGCTATCAATTGTTAGGGGAACCACTTGTTCTTTCTTAATCCTTTTAAAACTCTACAAATGGACTACATAGTTTATGTGGCAAATATGATTCTCAGGCAAGACATCTTAAGACTGTTCAGAAAAACAACTCTCTTCGGGACCAGGGCTCAAGCTAATGTGTTGCACTGTAACATGTAGAAGACATATTCATAAAATTTAAATGTCTACTATTTCAATTTTTATTAATGTTTGCTTAAGTAAATTTGGTAGCAAAATGTATAATGGTAGGTGACATAGATTCTCTTCCACTACATGTCCAAAGCCATTAAATGGGAATATTCAGGAGTATATAGAATGTATCCAGATATAATAATTCAGAAATAAAATTTAATGACTTTAATTTTGCTTTTACAAGGTTAACAGTGCAAAGTTTAACATAATTCTAAAGCATCCTTACATGTTCTATATCTAGTGAGAGCTCAAAATGTCTGATAAGGTATAAATTTATTACTATATATGAAACTCTTATACTTCACACAAATACAAAACCACAGTCATGTTCTCAAGGTAAAAATTGTACAACAGCTTTGTGTACTAAAATATTAATACTGCAGTTCCTGAAAAAACAAGTATCAGTTGACTATCTTGGCTTTTATGATGTATACTACAATCATCTTCTAACATGACAATGCCACTTAAAAATGCTCAGCATTCTTCCAATACCTTTTGATTCAGAGTAAGCATCACTAGTTGGCAAGTTCATTTTAATGGCAGAAAGGTGCGAATTCAATCTAAAGAGCAAAGGTTCATTTTGATGCAACTAACTTTCTTTTTGCGTTTTTCCCTCCTTCTCTTCCTTATTCCCGCCCTCCCCTTCTTCCTTCCTTCTCTCCCTTTCTCTTTCTTTTGACAGGGTCTTGCTATGTAGTCCAAGCTGCTCTTGAACTATGATCTTCCGGCCTTAGCCTCCCAAGTGCTGAGATTACAGGCGTGTGTCACCATGTCCGGCTCTGAGGAACTATTTGATCACCACATGCAGCAGTGAATATTGAATTCATAAGCTATTTCTATTGTCCAGTGAGAGTTATTGCACATGATGTAATCATGAAGACTTTTTCACTTGGTTAAAACATTTCTCACCATTAGACTGGCAATGGCATGCAAAAGGTACATCACTTTCCTAGGGGTGTGGCAGTCACCTCACATCCAGGCTAATTCATGCATAAATGGCCGCCTCGATGAAGCTTCAACACAAAACTTCACACACTGCTAGTAAATCAGTCTGAGCGGGGCCTCCTCCACCTTCCTCACTAGCTAACCAGACACGAGTCCTCGTTGCTTGGCTTGACTTCTCCTTCCAGCAGCAAATTCATCACAACCTTTGTCAAATAGCTGCATGTTCCTCTTTTTCCCAGGGGTGGAGTGTTGTAAAAGGAAGTCATGTCATCCTACAAAGGAAAATAGTAAGCAAGTTGTTTGATATTTTGTGTAAAGAGTTGACAGGTAAAATCAGTGTCAGCCTAGAGGGAAAAATAAATTTACATAAGATTTCCTCATGGAAAATATGAGCTTCCTGAGCCTTTCTTTTATTGTCCTGAGGCATCTGTTCAGCATATAAAACAAAGACAGACACTTTTAGTATTCTCTTCTTTGCTAATTTTTATTTATTTATTTACTTAGCAAACCTTTTCACAGATGAGTATAAAATATTTAGTAGGGAGCCTAGAAGGAACCATATTAGGTAGTATACAGCATGAGTGCAGCCTGTTCTGCATTCCTATCTTCCTCAGAAGTTAATTTCATTGCTTTCTGGAATCAATGACTCTTCCTTGGTTAAAAACAAAACTTTTAAACTGCCACCTACAGAAACAAAATTTATCTCTTCCTAGATTTTTCTGTCTGAACTTCATAGCTGAGCTGACTAGTAATTAACTCAAGGGTAATATTAATTCCTCAAAGAAGTCAGATTGCCTCTCAAGTATCCTACTTTGCACTCTGCAAATGTTTTATAAGCTCAGTGGTAAGAGATTAGGGATATTTTGAAGAATTAAGACAATGAAAAGCTGTTTTCTACAAAAATCTGTTTCTACTTACTTGTTTTTCAGTTTCTTTTAGTTGACCCTCATCTTTTTGAAATTCATGAAATGCTTCTTTCACCAGTTTGTCTAGATCTACTTTGTCTTGAAATTCTAACTCAGGGTTTCTTTCCAGTACAATGGATACAACCATTAGTAACTATAAAAGACAGACATTGGAAGGCAATTATACAAACCATAGTAGTGACACAGGCTGGACATGTTTTTATTTTTAATCAGACTGATGGATGACACTCATATTCCACAAAGTGCTCTCTGTACGAGGCTTAAAGATCTCCTATGGGTGGAATCTTCCTAATTTTGAAAATCACCAGTAAAGTTCTACTAGGAAATTGCATATTTTTTCATTGCCTATATCCCTATAGATAGATATATAGAAATTATTTTAGTCACAAATGAAAATGACCCTCTTAATTCTGTAAATATTATGTGGTACTCCATTTACCAAAAGTGACTGAACTCCTCTGGGCATAAGCCTTGTTGGCACCATAAGCAGTGTGCAGCTGAGCAGGAATGCCAGGAGAGAGGAATAGGGGATGAAGCCAGAAAAGGCAGATGTGATCAATGGTCACTCAAGGACGATGTTCCAACAATGCAGAGCCTAGCACTTCAAAATGAGCATGTCTGTGATGTTGTAGAAGTGTCTCAGTGGATAGTGACTTTTAAAAATAAATACTTTATAACTCTGGCCTTTTCATGATATGAGTACTCTCTGGCCTGTGAAAACTATCTTTCTCTCTCTCTCTCCTTTTTTTTTCTTTAAATTTTTTTTGGTACAGGAGATCAAACTTGGGACCTTGTGCTTGTGAGGCAGGTGGCAGAACCACTGAGCTAAATCCCCAGCCCCTTTGCAAACTATCTTAATTTAATACATCACCATATTTGGCCACCCTGTACATTTATACAAGTGGTGATGTTAATTTTAGATGACAAACTCTTATATGCAAAGCTTGTATCTGCTATGCAATGACTGATAAAGGCTTTCTGATGAGGCGTATGTATCCTTCTTTGAGACATGAACAGGAAACAGACCTCTTAACTCCCAATTTGGAAATCCTACTGAGTGTATTTTATTTAAATGCTTCTGCAAGAGAGCCTAAAAGAACCAAAGAAACATTTTCAGTAGAATACTGGGCTCAAAGAAATATTTTCAGTAGAATACTGGGCTCACACATGAAGTTTTGTTGGAACTCTATAGGAAAATTTCTTCTGCAAAAAGTCAGTGAGAAGGGCTTTTATGTCCACAGCACTAAACATGGAAGGAAGGGTAAGGTCACAGAACAAGAAAGGTATTCGCCCTTCAAATAACTCCATCTTTTCCTGACCTGACTTTATCTCACTCCCATATTCCATGGAACTGATATTAATCTTTTTCCACATCTTGGAACAGCAGAGATGAGGTCGAATCACATTCAACTCTAATTGCAGCTCCAGAAATGTTGGATTATAGGAGGTGTGGCATCCAGTTTAACACTCACTGCACTGCTAACTCCTATACTAGTGAGATATTACCTTCATGAAACACAAAGTCTTATGATCAAGACATTCCAAGAGAAAAGACAAAGCTACATTTAAATCCACCATTTCGGTCTTCATTATATATCTGATATAATCTTTTAAAGTAAAAAAAGGCATGTGTACATGTTCCTGTGTATTTCACCATTTAATTTATATAAAGCATTGGTACAGTACAAAATTACATATGTTCCCTATACAGGTGATGTTTGGAAAGATGTCCCTCAAAAGATTAACTGTGATAAGCTCCTGTTAGTTGGGTATGGGGGTTATTGTTTTCTATAACTTTCTAAACTACTGAAACTTTCTATGATAACGATAATGTATTACTTCTGCAAACAGGAAACCTGAAAAGAAAATTCATAGAAAAAGGTCCCTTCTTCTCCTGATAAGATGTTGCTGATGCGACTGCTGGGGGGAGGAGAGTGCTACTGAAAGGCTGGGCCCTCTGTTTTTCTACCCAGAAGGTGACTCGGGTCAAGGATGGCCATCTTCTGGGAGACTCCATTGGTGGATCTAAGAGTTAAGTGAGGACTAAAGTTCTTGTTCTTCGGGGCAGTTTTCCTAGGCTAGTTTTCAGGTAGGAGACCAAAAGCACGTTTTTAGCAATTTACATTGGTAAATACAAACCTCCACAATTATCTGTCTGTACTTTGGCTGGTCAATGTTTCCCAACATGTCTTCAACAAGGAGAGAAAAATTCATCTCATACATGGTCATATCTGACAGGGTTGGTTGCTGAAAAAAATAACTTCACATAAACATGGTGCTGAATATCATACTCTGGTTCTCATTTAATAGAGGAATTTCATTTTCTAATCAATAGTCTTTCTCAGTTTCTATAAAACCTTAGAGAGCATTTTTGTTTCTATGACTGGATTTTACATATGTCAAACTACTAGAGCCAATAACCTGATTACTGTGATAAATTTGTCTCTCATGTTTAGTAGTCCTCTTCATTATATTAATATTTTTAGAGGAAAACAATGTATTAGAAAGCCACTTCACTACAAAACATGAACAGCCCAAAGCTGAGACAGCAAATAGAGTATATATTGCTTTTGGAATTAACATAGAAGTTACGCTTGCTGTCAGATTTTACCATGTAAGTCTCTTTGCTATTGAAATTATGCAATTTCTGTGGCAGGTCCTTTCTGAGCTGGTAGCACAAAATACATACAAACAAGCAAACAACAACAACAAAACTACCCAATACATGCAGAAATAGCAAGGAAACAGAAAACAAAACCACAACTAAAAGCATTTTCTCTACTCCGCCCTTTATCTGTTATTTAAGAGTATTATATGGTCTTACATCCACTTTTCACAACCAAACAAAAGTAGAAAGTAAACTCAAGTTCAAGTTGAAATCTGGGCATAGTGAGTAACTCTTAAAAAGTAGGAGGAAAGGATTCAGAAGTTAGGCTTGTGAGGATGTAGTCATCACTAGATTACCAGCAGAGGAGACATACTTGTTTGCTTTTATCTTCCTGAAGGTTTACTTTGAAACTAACCATGGCTTCAGAACAATGTGAATCTACTTACTACTCAAAATGAGACTGAGGGGCCCCTTGATTGTCCTCTTCTAATCAAGTGATATCTAAGTTGTTCAGCATGGTATAATAATCTTAGTCCTGTACTCAGTACACCTGACTCCAGAGTCGATATAACCCAATATATTGTTGATGTTCACCACTAGTACCAATTTGGGAAAATGAAGCCCCGTTGCCAAATATACTTTTTATAATTGTTTAGATGTCTAACAATGGGATTAACAAAGTAACAGAAGGAAAAGAAGACCCTTTATATGGTTTTACATTAATTTCCTTTTAATCTATCTCATTTTAAATCACCTGAGCCACTATGTAACTATGACAAGCCTACAGGAGAGATAACAAACTTGCCTTATTACCTACTAGTCTAAGAGGAATTAAAATTAGGGTTAAGCAGTATAGCAAAAAAGATAAAAGCCCCAGAAACCAAATTGCCACAGTTTCATCCCCTGGGCTAGCTACTTACTAGATGTGACCTTGGGGAAATCATTTAGCTGTACTTTAGTTTCTTCATCTAGCCAGTGGGAATAATACAGCACCTTTCTCAAAACTTTCTCTGAAATTATTGTGATTAAATGCTCATTGTTACAAATTTCTTGTGTGTTCTTCCAAAGATACTTGTGTGTATACAAAAGCAAAAGGAGCGCAGATATGTGCATTTGAGAATACATTGTTTTAAAAAAAAAGCTCTGTCAAAATTAATGTTTCGCATTTCAATACTAGAAACACAAATAGTACTCTGCTTTTTCTGTATGGTATAAGGAGAATGATTTCCATGCCAGGATTAAATAAATACAATAATCACATCAAAGAAGCAGGATAGTTTATATAACTTAGGAAACCAAATTCAGGAGAGGACAATGAAATTTGTTTGGACCTCAGGTAACTTATACTGCCTCAAGTAAAATAAGTGATCATCTGTTCATGGATCTAAAAAGTGACTACATCTTTTCACATTCAGTGCAAGTTGTGGATTCAAAGTCAGTAGTGATTTTCTTATCTACAGCATCATGGAGCTACCTTGATTCTTAGGCTTGACCAGGTTCTTTCTTTGCAATGTACATTTTATTGCTTGTAAGGTCCCCAGCACTGGACTATCACTACTTTTTGTGGTAAAAGGACAGTCCTACTTAAAACCAATATAAGAAACCCTAAATTCACTCATGAGTACACAAAGGAAGGAAAGTTCTGCAAGGTTTAGCCATGTGGTGCCTCTAAAGAGAGCCTCTTGGAAATACCTAAATAGGATAGAAAAGCAAAATTTTTTTTTTTTTTTTTTTTTTTACAAGGACTCTAAAATTGAAAAACAAAAATAACATGCAGGAAATGTTTCCAACCCCAATGACTGGACTTATTATTTTCTAGTATTTTATTTATTTATTTATTTTGAGACAGTCTTGCTATGTAGCTCAGATTGGCCTTGAACTCACAGTGATCCTCCTGCCTCAGCCTCCTGAGTGCTGGGATTATAGGCATGCACCACCACGCCCAGGTCTAGTGCAGTATTTTATCCCTTCAGGTATCTGGATATCCCTTCTTTGAATACTCACAGAACACTGAAAAGCAGAAAAGTTATTTATAGTACAGAGGGGGAGGATGCTCTCCTCCGTTAGGTCCCTTTGGAAGTTTCTTTTCCTAATGAAACATGGTGGGGCTTTACCTGTGGCAAATGTTTGCCAGCTACAATGATGCCATTGGGTGTACGCTCCAGGATCTGCCATACTCGGTCATAGAATCCAGGGGGAGTTCTATTCAAAGAACCATCGATCTGACGCCTATCCAGCCAGCATCTGTAGACCAAAAGAAAATGCCTCAGAAAACTGACAATCTTGTTCTGGTGGAAAGCAAGGCTTTCAGAGTGAATTAGCTATTCCAGTAGGGTGAATAATAAAAGCCCAAACCCATCAATGATGTGTATCTGCCATGTGTTACAGATGTTAGTAAATATTTCACAGTTAAAAGAGCTTGCAATAGGGGAGGAAACCTCTAAGATTAAAAAAAGTTAATAGATAAAGTATTATTCTTTTGTAAACTATGAGTTGTTCACTATATGATCAAATGATTTTCTAATATACAATAATTCCACTTAAATACACAGCAGCCCAGGGCCAGGGATTTAGCTCAGTGGTTCCACTGCCTGCCTCGCAAGCACAAGTGCACAAGTTTGATCCCTGGTACCAAAAAAAAAAAAAAAAAAGGAAGAGAAAACAGAGCAACAAACTTTGTAATAATTTTTGTAGTTGCACATATAATAAAATGTTGCCTCTGTGAAGGCATGCAAATCACAGGACTTCATCATTCCTATACATCTCTTCCAACAAGGATACTCAATATTTGATGAATGAATAAATGAGTGCTTAAAAAGCATTATATGTAATGAAATTACCTTATAACTTATGAACTTCAAAAAAGTTTATTTAAATACAGCTAGAGCCTCACTGCTGGAAAAAAACAGATATAAAATCTTGCATGTCATAATAATCAGAACATAGTGATAAGCCAAAATTCTAGATCTCTTATTTTCATGGATTAACTGCTAAAGATAGAATACCACCATTCACAAACTGCTAAAGATGTAGAATTTGTATACTTTCTAAGGAACACAGTGATGTAATAGTACATTCTTGCAAAAGGTAAAGAAAGGAACAGATATACACATACTTTTCACATTTGGCATTTGAAAGGCAGTAGGGTGAAATGTGTACTGCATCACATGGGAGGTATGGAATGACTAGCAATATTTCTAGGTGTGCATGTAGCTATGCAGAACACAGAAAAGACACTTTCATTTTCTGAAAAAGGGCCAGTGAAATATGTTAACTTCATAAGAAGAGAGACATCTTTTTTGGGGGTGTATGAAGTTTCTTTTAATGCACCCAGACTAACACTGTGAGTGCATGCAGTATTTTCTAAGGTGAAGAAGCTCAAAGGTTTAGGGTCTATTGGTAATTAATGCATACCCCACACTCTGCATTTGATCCTTCACCCCCACTCCCTGGTTTTGGCAAAAACAAGAATAAAAAAAGAGACTTTTTCTTAGAATGTAAAAGGAAATGTCAGAATTCTCACAGGGCAAGTGAAGAATTCTTTTAGAATATATTTTTCATTTTTTGTCATTTTATCTTAAAAACTTTAGACTTACCAAAATTACAGAGATAAATTCATAAAGTTCTTGTGTTCTTTATTCGGTTTTATTCAGCTTCCCTACTCTTACATAACTATCACACATTTTTAGAAACAGTGAAATGAACACTGAATGATAACATTAACCTATGGACCTTATTCAAATTTCATTAATTTTACCACTAATGTTTTGGTCCAGGACCCCACATGGCATTTATATTGTGTCTAATAGAAGGGCTCCTCACACGTTCCTTATTCTTTCATAACTATCATGTTAGACATATCTTGTTTTGCAGGATTTTCTTCAATTTGAGGCTGTCTGAAGTTTTCTGAGGAAGAGACTAAGATTATGTATTTTTGGCAAGAATATCCAAAAGTAGCGCCAGGGATTTAACTCAGTGGTGCCACCACCTATCTCACAAGCACAAGGACCCGAGTTCAATCCCCAGTACCGTCCCCCCAAAATCCAAAAGTGACGTATTTTTTTTTCAGTCTATTGTATAAATGCGTATATGATATTGATGTGTTACCACTGGTGATGCTAATCTTAATTATTTGATTAAGGTGAAGTCTGCTAGGTTTCTCCACTATGAAATTATTTCTTCTAACCTTTGCAGTAAATAAGTATTTTGAGTGTAAATAGTTTTAAGTTATGCAAATTTTTCATGCCTCATATTACTTTCATCCTACAATTGTTCTTGCCTGCAAGAATTATTACTGTTGTATTTGCCTAATAATGACTTTCTATTTCCAGTATCCTATTTATACTTATTAATTAGGATTCTGCTAAAAGTAAGAGCCCCTTTTCTCCCACTATTCATAGCAGCTGCACTATGGGACACTTACTGTACGGGTTATAACCCAATACTATCATTATTTATTACGCCGCTCAAATTGTCCCAGCTATAGCCACAGGGCTCCATGCAGTTGTCTCCAGTGCCCATCTAACACATCTTTCAGATTTTGAGATTTCCTAACTTTCTAGCACAAGGTGCTCCAGGCTAATTTTGTATTTTTCCTGCCTTGCCCTGAAACCAATCATTTCTCCAGGGGATGCTGATCTGTTCATTAGAGAACAGTATTTAGAAAGCAAAAGTGCTGAATGTGTTGGCACATGCCTGTAAGGCTGAGGCAGGAGGACCGCCATGAGTTTGAGGCCAGCCTGTTTACATAGTAAGTTCAAGGCCAGCCTGAACTGTATAGTGTGACCATGTCTCAAACAAAACAAAATGTCTAAAAAAGCAATATCTGGGTACTACATTTGCTCATTATTATCGGGTATCATTTTCTCTAGGTCATCTCAGTAAAAAGAGCTAGGAAATAACGGCTGTATATGCATATATACATACACACATCTGTGTCAATCTGTATAAAAACTATGAATTAACACCGATATTATCACTTTAAATCCATCCTACATGTTCTTCTTTTTCTAGCACTGTCATTAACAGTGAAAAATCTAGTTCTCATTCATTACTCTAAGGTATTATAATTGTATTATAATTGTCTAGCAATGTTAACCTGTACATCTGTGAGAAAAACTTTATTAGCCAGAGTGCAGTGTTATGTGCAGTTCTTTTTCTTTAGTCTCAAAGAATCCAGTCAAAGCAGTGTTTTCTAGTGGGACTCTAGTTAATTCTTTTCCTCCCACCACCCTCAGTGTGGTAATGGGATCCGTTTGTAATATCACAGGCTTACGTATCACCATCATCCTGCCCACACTTCTCCTTTCTTTCCATCCTGCTTCCACCCACTCTCTAAAGGTGACAAACGGTATTAGTTTTGCATTTATCCCTCCTATATTTTTTCTATACGAATGAGCAAATAAGTGCTATTTCTTTATATCTCGGTTCTTACACGAAGAGTAACATATTACAGCAGTTCTTTTGTATTTTACAGTTTATAGAGATCATGCTCATTCCTTGTAGCAGCTGCACAGTCTCTGCTATACAGACACACCACCGTTTATTCAAATAATTTCTTATGTATAGACATTCAGGTTATAGGAATTCCCAAATTTTCACTATAAACAATTTAATGAATAATCTTATGCATATTTTTCATATTGTTTGAGGAATATCTTCAAAGTAGATTCCTAAAAGGAATACTGGATCAAAGGGTAAGTGCAAATATAGATCTTTTACATGTCATCAAATTCCTGTCCAGAAGGGTTGCACTCATTAGTCACATATGAGATGCCTGTTCACCAGTCTTACCAAATGTTTATTATACTTTTAAACTTTTGCAGGGGTGAAAGATAGTAATGGTTTGATACTTTTAAATGTAATTTGCTCTAATTATGTTAGCTTGAATATCTTTATGAGTATCTAAAAAACATTTATGTGTTTTAAATGAATTTATTAGTCATGCTACTCTCCATTTGTATCTTGGATTTTTTTGTTGCCTGTCTGAATTTTTAAGAATTTTTGGGTATAAGCTCTTTGTGGCATATATTTTGTTCCAGTTTCTCATCTGTCTCATGACATTCTCTTTTGTTACACAAAATATTGTTTTAAACTATTACTCTATTAATCTTTTCTTTTGTTGTCTTTGAGTGATAGCTAGAAAGCCTTTCCCAAACCAAAGTTAAAAAGAAGTTTGCCCATGTCTTCTCCTGTTTGATAAGTTCATTTAGATCACTAATCTGTTCGGAGTTGACTCTTGTGTATAACCTAAAGTATCTGATTTTCTCTTGCAAATGGCTATGCAGTTGTCCCATTGCTACTTATTTAAAAAGTCCATTTTTGATCCAGTAAATTGAGATACCACCTTCCTCATATACTTTTAAATAAGTATTTGCAGATCTACTTCTAGAATTTTATTTTCTCTAAAATGGGTCTTTTTATTTGTTCATGCACCAATATCACAGTGTTTTAAATAAAGAGATTATGTTTTAATGTTTATTATGGCAAGTCATTTTTTTATGTTTTCTGGTTATGTTTGCATGTTAGTTTTTCCAAATGAAGTTCAGTATTAACTTGTCTAACTCTATATAATAGCTGTTGGAATATTACTACAGGTGTACTCAACAAGGTGCTATCTGCAATACAAATGCAACCCACAAGTACTTGTTTCGTCCATTTCTTAATCTAGCACAAGTTTATGGAAGTGCTCAGCCAATGTTTAGTCTATTTAGGGAGAAAGAGTCACAGGAAATACAGATAATGCTACCATATCCAATCCCTCCTGCCAAAATTCTGAGAGGAGATCCTCAATTCTGTATATGAATGTTCAGAATGGGAATTGAGCAAAGTAGTATGAAGTGTTACATTTTGCACAGAATAGTAAAAATAAGAAAGTGCTTGTAAGACACACCTGAAAAAATTTAAATTTCAAATCAACACAAAATCAAAGAGACAGATATTTTAATTAGTCTTTTATACTCTTTCAGTACATAGGCCAACACTGCTGCATTTTATTTCTTGTTACTAGCTATTAATTTCAGATATCAAGTTAAAAAGTATGATGTTTCTGTACATTCAGAGTGTCCTATAGGCAATAAAGGGTCCTCATTACCTTCTACTCTGTTGAGGCTGCAAAATATCCAACAGAAGTTGTTTAACTTCACTAGGCGAGAGCTGATATAAGTCTATGGCTAGTTTGTCTCTGCCACGAATCTGTAGTTCATATTCCATAGCATGGATGATCCACCTGAAACAAAACAGAGGAAGCATGAGTCAATAACTCTTAAAATAAAATCACCTTGTGCTTTTCTCAGTAATGCCCTTAATAGCATGACCCATCCAAAGGGGTATAAAGAAAAGGCCATTTCAATTCCCTGAACCGTTGATATAATTACTTCCATCAAGATGTGTGACATGATTAAACTCTTAATTGAGGCCTGCTTATGCACATGTAGTTTGGCTGTAAAACACAAAAATAGGCCAGACTACTTAGGTTTTTGTTGGGTGAAATTTTACCAATTCAGTACTGCACACAAATTGCTGCAACAGTATATTTTCTTAACACTAGACACATGCAAAAAAATAAATGGGACATAAGTAATGCATTTAAAAAATGGGCTGAGCTTTGCAATCATGTAAATATTTCTTTTCTAGGAACAAACAAGCAGTTAGTTTTTAAAAAGGAATACTAATTTCCTTTATTTTGTAGTCATTTTTTGGGATTGGAGGGGAGAGAGAAGTACCTGCCTTTGAAAGACAAGAATGCAATTAGTTATAACTTAATTATAGTATTACATTAGAGAGTGTACTTTAACCAGTATATTTCAGCAAAGGTAAAATATTTCATTATTTTATGTGCATTTTTATTTTTTGAGACGTTTTTAAGTAGTATTTATGTAGTTTCATCTCATTTCTTTTATGCACTGTTTTCTGTAGAAAGAATTAGTTATGAAAACCAAAGAAAACTGCAAGTAATACTGTGCCTTAGGGAACAAGAACTCTATACACTACTAGGAAAACATAAGGAATTATTTTTACACAGCAGATTTCTATGCTTTATCCTTAAATCCTCTGGTGAATTCTCAGTCACTCCCCTACTTCCCTCTCCCCTTTTCTTCCCTCCCTGCCTTTCAGAAGTGGCTGAGTGGAAGTCTTATGGTCATAAAGGTGTGCCTGCCCTCTGGAGAAAAAGACAATGGGACCCTGGGACTGGACCCCAGCCCTTCCTCTTCTTTTCTTATGATTCCCAGCCATGAAGTGAATAGGCTTTGCTCTGCCACACACTGCAGCCTGGATGTGCTACTTCACAGAAAGCAAAAGGGGTAATTACTCCATTACAGACTGACACCTACAAAACTGTAGGCCAATATAAACTAATGCTATGTGTAGGCCTGGTTTTAGATCCTGATTCAAACACACTGATTGTAAGAAGTTATTTAGGGGCATATGGAGAAATCTGAATATGAATTGAGGCTTTTGTGATATTAAGGAATTTTTACTAACTGTTTGGTATGGTAATTGTATTATGTTCATTAAGAAAACATCCTTTTTGAAGAGAGATATATACTCACTCAAGTATTCAGGGGTAAAAGTTAAAATGTCTGGGACTTACTTTATAATATACTATAATAACAACAAGGACAAGCTAATATGGCACAGGTAAATTACTAACAGTGGTTTATCAACTTCAGAATGAGTATACAGGAATTTACCAAATATTTCTCCTGTTACCACACTCAAAGTTTTTCATAATGAAAAGCCAAAACAAAAAAGACAGACTTACATACTAAATCTGTTCCATTGGCAAGTTATTTTTCAAATGGCAACATATTACCCATTTAGTCAACTTTATAAAATTATTTTGAGAAACAAAGAAAATGTATATAAAAAGGCTTCTGAAATCCTAGTAATTTAGAAGGATTCCTTTCCCCAAGGCAAAAACCTAAAACATAAACAAAGAGTAAAATAAAAGATAGATAACAGGAAATAGGGAGATAGGTCTTTCACAAAAGGGAAGGGGATCAAGAGAAGGGAAGGGGTAAGAAGAGAAAGGGATGAAAAAATAATTAAGACGTGTTGTGCCCATGTACCAATTCCCCATGGTGAGTGTAATCATTATGTACTGCAAACATGTACTAATAAAATATAAAAATTGGAAGAAAAATGTTACCAAAGTCCTATTGTATGACTTCTCAGACTCAAAGTAATGTAGTATTATAAATTTGTAATTCAAGTACTGAAGTTACTTAAGCAAGAGCCCCATCCAATTAATTTCAGAAGGTATCTTCTTCTAAAATAAGTAACATTTTCATCTTTAAAAGGCTTACTTTAAAAAAAAAAATTTTTTTTTTAGACAGGGTCTTGCTATGGTATGTAACTCAACCTGGTGTTGAACTCCCTCTGTACCCAGGTTGACTTTAACCTTGCAATGATCCCCCTGCCTCAGCCTCCCAAATTGCTAGGACTACAAGCATGTGACACCATGCCAGGCCTAAAAGACTTATTTTTAAAAATTCTCCAAAAATTTGAATTATTAAAACTAAACATAGTCATCACACTTATCTTTTAAATTTCATAGTAGCATACACAAAGATAGCTGGAGACTTACAAGTTTCCCCTTAGGTTTTTTCCATTTACAAAGTCTCAGCAGTTTCATGAGATTATTCTAGAAAACACTGTATCCAACAGTTACCAAAGAAAGAAGTTGACTCATTTTTTTTCTTCTTTTTTTAACAAATTAATATAATTATTTGTCATGTTAATTAAAATACACTCACTCAAAAAATATTGTCCAAACTAATCTTTGTATACCTTAGAATTTTTCAAAAGACTAAAAAATATCAAATAGCATTAGACATAAACTACTAACACAGTTGTCAAAGATGTAGTGAGAATAAGTTATCAAGTAAGTAACACACTTAAAAAATCAAAGACATTTTATCCATATTTAGGACTATCAATGAAAGAGTTTTTATCTTTATTCCCATTGACAAGGTAACGAGACTTGATTGGCAATTTCATCACAAAATCACTTACATGCCAAAAGGGGAGAGAAAGAAAAGAAATGGAGAAGGTAAAAAGAATGAAGGTTATCTTTGAACCAGATCTGACTAAAGAAATAAAAACACACTCTACTTGCCAATAAGTGAACAAGAAAATAGCAGGTACACACGACTGACCAAATCAACCTTCACACATATTGTGATATGACTTGAGGACAATGAATTCCTAAGGACACCTGGGAACAAACACGTACTGATGTGGACTAGTATTCCTGCACCATCTTGGGAATAAGCTCGTCCTTTGAAAAGCTATCTTGTACAGTTACTGTTGTACATATGAGCATCTTTCTTTCCAACATGCACCAATCAAGGAGTAAAATATACAATATAGTACATGGAAATCAGACACTACTAGAAAACCAGATAGCTGACATTTTCTGGGGAAAAAAATGCCATAAAGAATAGCACTGGTCCTTGGCAAGAAAAAGAATTTAATAATCATTTTGATATTATAACAAGATAAAAAGACGGATTTAGTGTTTGTTGTTAAACAAATAAATGACTTTCTCTGCCAACGTTTTACTAGGCCCTAGGTTACAAACAGAACTGTCCCCTACCTCCCATCATGCCTATGCTGAAGCCCTAGTCCCAGTGTGATGGTGTTTGGAACTGGGACCTTTAGGAGGTAATTAGATATAGATGAGGTCTTGAGGGTAGGGCTCTTAGGCTGGGATGTGGAAACTTTTCAAGAAGAGAGGACTCTTTCTCTCTACCATGTGAACACACAGGAAGAAAATGGCTGTCTACAAAGAGAATACAGCCCCCATCAGAATTCAAAATAACTGGAACTCTGACCTTGACTTTCCAGTTCTAGACTATGAAGAAATATACTTCTGTTGTTTAAGCCATTCTATTTAAGATATTCCATGATGTCAGCCCAAAATGACTAATACACCATATAACCGAGATGGGAAAGTTCCAAGAGACTTTTCTGCTTCATCAATATTAATATGGAAGGCATGACAATCACATGCAGCAAACTGAGCTTCCCGTTTGGGAACTGGAGAATGACTTACTCTACCCCAGATATAATCATAATAGAATAGAGGTAGGAGAGCTCTATCATTTCACTTTCTTACCTCACATTAAATGTCAAAAGTAAAGACTTTTAAAGAGTGTCAGAAACATGCCAGTGAATTTGGAGCTCTAATTTCCTCTTCTTTATGGCATAAGCAGTGTTGCAGTCGGTATGTTTGACGCCAACAGTCTTCTGTAAGCACTGAATGTGTGATCCACAGATGCCATTTTGGACATCAGGGGACAAGATACGTCTGGATCATAATTGCTTACAGAATGTCTTAGCAGTAGGAAAAGCAGAGATGAAAAAGACCTGATAAATTCTCGGGGGTTTTCTCTCCAAAGCCTGACTGACAGACCTGCCACAGAAAGCAGCTGATTGGAGTTCTTTACAGTAATGGGCCTGTCAGGAACTTGATCTATTTCAACATGAAAGCAGATGCACAAATCAATAATGAGACAGCAAATAAAATCATTATCAGACTGGAATACCATTCCTGTGAGCAGGTTAATTTTGTTCACAAGAGTGTCTGATAGCAGTAAAGTTGGAGAAATTACATTGGCAGCATTAACCTTGGAAAAAAGAAAAAAGAAACAGTGGTCTTAAACAGTGGTATATAAAGAACTTTTTAAATAAATATCTCAAGAAAGGTTAAACCAGAGATAAAATTGCATACAATGCAGATTTCTGGGTAAGATGTACTATGATTAAAACTAACATTTTTAATATTCATTCAATCTGATGAATGTTGGCATTTCAAGAAGAATATTGCATCAAATCTGATCCGACAATCCATCTACTTAATAGATTAAGATTTAGCACTAAAAAGAAACAACAGTAAGCCAGATAAAAATGCACCTAATATGCCTTACTGCCCTATAAAGAAGTAAAATAATGTATTCTGTAAATACCCTCCCAAACTTTCTTTTAAAATCATGCTACAATGACAACACACAGAGGATTTGGAAGCAGCTACATACACATTCAACAATTTATAAAAAAATTTGACATACAAAGACTTTATAAATGAATAATTTGCTCAATTACAAATGAATAATTTATCCACCAATTTTTAAACAGCTAAAAAATCTTCCAAGGACTACTTCAAGGTAAATTTTGATAAAGAAATATATTCATTATATATATTTATTACATAATTTATATTTA